CTCATGATATTGACTACAATTTACCACAATGCAACAGCTCCCCTCCCACTTCCTCCCAATAGTTACCTCTTTCCTGTGTCCATCCCTCCATACACTCCTGCCTCCTGAGCTGCCTCCCTATGCATAAGCAGCCCTTCTATTCTCCCATGATTGTTCTCTCCAAGGAGTGTAACTACCTCAGGTAAATATTCAACTCATATGTTAGTCTTTTGTTTGGCTGGAAGCCACAGGTGTGGGTTCAATTCCAGACCTGAAGGGCAGCTAGGGGCCACAGTCTCAGTGGTTCCACCAGGCTCCATCGGACCAGCAAACCTGCTCCCCCCCCTTTTTTTCCCTCCAAATGCTTTTGAGTTTTGTTCCACATTGTTCTCCCTCTCTATCCTGGATCTCCTACACAGATCCCCTTCCAAGTGGTTGTCAGTGGCAGCCAGGCACCATCTAGTTCCTCTGGTCTCATAGTCATATAGGCTGCAGATCGGATGGTGTACCAGTCACTAGGACTAACTGTTTCCATGAATTTTTGGTTTTCTTCATTTTTGTTTGTTCTGGATGAGGAGAGACCCATTGTTGCATCTAGATGGCAGCTTGCAAGCTTTTAAGATCCACTTCAATACTCTTTTATCTTTAAACTATTTTTGATGCTGAAATATTTTTGGAATATACTGTATTTTAATTACCTATGTTCAAAAATGGCTCTTATCCACGGTAATGCATGGATGGCATCTGACATATTCAAATGAGGGAAATACTAACTCAATTTTATTTCTAGACTAAAAATTCTCAATATTACAGCATCTTCAACTAACTCTCATTATAGAAAAATATGACTTGGTCATCTTTCCTCTAGAGAATTAGGTGATAGTTTTAAATGATAAGCAAATGTTTCATCAACCAACAATCTATGACGTGAGAGGACTTTAAGCTTTTACTTACCATTGCTTGTTCTATTTTGTTGTCAATGGCTACAACACCTCCCCCAGATGCACTGGAAAAAATGAGAATATTTCAGTGAATTATTCTCAACAATGTAACCTCCCTTCCAAATCTCAAAATAATATCCAAACATTTGTGTTTTACTTAGTAACAAATACAGTAATTTAAAATGGCTTATTAAGTCTATTCTCAAAATTTTAATACTCAGGTCTCATTTTAAAAATAATAATAATCAGTAAGTAGATGAGGTCTAAACATCCTTTGTAGTTCCAATATTCCTAATTTGCCCATTACATATACTATTTTAAAAGTAACTCCCAATTCTATTCAGTTTTCAATTCAGTGGTCTTAAAGAATACATTAAGCTTCCTCATTATCCAACTATATATTCTAATCTCAGTGATTATCTATTGCATTAAAATTCAGATGACTTTAATTTTACAAGTTAGTATATTTTTATAACTGGTTTAAAAGTTTTTAGATCTGGCTTCTAAAAATGATTCAGTAGGCTTCTGAACAAAAAGTACTTGCATGGTTGGTTAACAAGGAACTCAACATTCTGACCAGCCTACATGCTTTGTAGGAGCTCTGGTAGCATAGTGGCTAAGACACTTGCCTGCTAACCAGACGGCTGGCGGTTCAAACCCACCAGCCACTCCTCGGAAGGAAGGTTGGGCAATCCTACTTCCGTAGTGATACTGCCTCGGAAACCCAAGGAGGGGTCGCTATGAGTCGGGGCCGACTCGACGGCACATAACAACAACAACAACACATGCTTTGTAGATTACTTGCTAGCAAAAATCACCTAATAAAGCATGTGGTTTAGACTAGTTTTTCCTAGAAAAAAACGAAGTTGTCTAGCTGATAAGTGTATGTGAAATTCAAATGTCACCTTAGCTTTTGTATGATAATATACGATAATAAACACAGAAAGTAATTGTCTTCTTTGGTAGTTTATTTTTCCTATGGATCAACTTTAGTTAAGAGTGTGAAGAATCTACATCTTCTATTTGGTGGTTTTGTAAATTTTGAAAAACAATCACTAGGATTCTTTTTATTACTCTTCTAAAGAAAAAGAAATCTGATACTTTGATCTACTCTAGCAATACTAAAGACTGTGAGGATGGCACAGGACTGGGCAGTGTTTTGTTCTGTTGTAGATAAGGTAGCTATGAGTCAGAGCTGACTCGATGGCCCCTAACAACAACATCAATACTAAAAGAAGTGTTTAAAACAAGTTTTACACAAAACTTTACTGAATATTCATTATAAAGTATACCTTACCTAAGAAGACTTAAGTGCTAAATATGAGAAGACTGTTTTACTTTAAATGATGTGGACCCTCAATGCTATTAAGCAGATTGTGGCTCATGACAATGATGTCCGATGTAGTGGTGCTTTTTATATTGTAACCCAAACAGACCTGGTTAGAACCCTAGTTCTACTTATCACTCACTACCTGTGACTACCTGCAAATCACTTACTTAACTTCCCTGGACCTCAGTTTCATCATCTATAAAATGAAGGAGTTGGGGTAAATACCCCAATGGACTTTCCATTTCTTAGTCCTTGAAACTCTGAATCAATACTAGAAAAACATTAACTTGTTTAAGCACTAATTACAATATGCTACTTCACTTCTTGATGCTGATACATGGAAGATGAAATAGGGCTTTGCAAACCTAGTAACTGTAAAGGATTAACAAATACCTATACATGTTAGGCTTTAAATGCTTGTAAAAACTGCAAAGTGTAACTATATGTCATTATAAAATATAGGAAAATTATATAAACCGTAAGTTTTTAGTATAAGTTTCAATGACAGCTACCAAATATTGGCCACAATTTGGCAAAACAAAAAAAACGAGAGTTAGGTAAATGTAATTAGTGACATAGAATCATCATAAAATGAAAGCTTAGTATCATTTTTAACTATCATGGTAAAGGCAAAGAATAATTTTTAAAAATCTGTTTACTATGAGTCATTTTTTTAAGGATAAAATCAAACCTTGAATAGCATTTGTTAGATGAGTTGTGGGTATGGAGGAAATAGGCAGAAATGTAGAACTGTGAAATAAGAATGACTATATTATTTTCTATATGATGAATGATGAACTGGCATCAAGGCCCCTCAAAAGAACACAACAGCTTGCATTTTGTGTTTAAATAAAGCCAAATACAATGGAATTAACTGGAAAAGTAAAACTCATTTATCAGTGCTATACTATGGTAAAGGAGCTCTGTAGCATAGTGCCTAAAGCACTTGATTGCTAACCAGAAGGCTGGCGGTCCAAACCTACCAGCCACTCCTCGGAAGGAAGATGGGGCAATCTACTTCTGTAGTGATACTACCTCGGAAACCCAAGGAGGGGTCGCTATGAGTCGGGTCCGACTTGATGGCACATAACAACAACAACAACAACACACTACGGTAAAATAGCTGGGCTTTCCCATCAGTTCAACCATCTTTTAATTCATCCCAATTGGTTCCCTGCTACAGCTTCTCTTCCCAGGCCTCCTCTACTCTTATCACAAGAGATTACTTGCAACCTTGCTGGGAGGACAAGTAAGTCTTGGAGGTATGAACCTCCAATTTCACCAGTTCTCCACAATTTCATCTTTCTTACTAGGCTAACTTCATCCATGTTCTCAGCTTAGGAACTCTGTGTGAATCATCTAAAAATTAAAACCAGTGAAGGCAACATCAGGATAATTCAACCTTACGTTTTTAAAAGCTCTTTGTAAGAAATCAATTTTTTTTCTTTTTTCAACTGTAATCTGGGTGAAAGTTTACAGAGTAAATTAGTTTTCCATTCTCAACTGTTTTCTTTTTCTATAGTAATGTGGACAGAGATATAAGTTACTTAAAATTCGCTTATTTAAAATAAAAACAATATACATTTATATTCTACATCAAAATGGACAAACTCTGACTACTTTTGCAACTGGGTAGAGGAACCCACCCAGTGCCATCAACTGATTTCAACTCACAGAGACCCTACAGGACAGAGTAGAGCTGCCCCACAGGGTTTCCAAGGCTATAAATCTTTACAGAAGCAGACTGCCTCATCTTTGTCCTGGGGAGTGGCTGGTGGGTTTGAAACACCAACCTTCTGATTAACAGGTGAATGCTTAAACCCCAGTCCCATTCAATTGTTTAAGTGAGTCCTCACAACAAGCCTGAGTGACATTCTCATTTTACACCTGAGGAAATTGAGGCCATGTAACTTGCTCAAAAACACAAAGCCAGTAATAGATTCAAACCTAGACCTAATGTCAAAATATGCTCTTTCTACCATGATAGTAAGATTGTGAAAGGAAGAAAGTGATTATCTATAATGACCTCAAATACATCCAGAGTTGTGTGTATTATTATAACTAAGTGTTGTTGTTATGTGCCGTCGAGTTGGACCCGACTCATAGTGACCCCTTCCTTGGGTTTCCGAGGTGGTATCACTACAGAAGTAGACTGCCTAAGCTTCCTTCTGAGGAGTGGCTGGAGGGTTTGAACTGCCAGCCTTCTGGTTAGTGGTCAAATACCTTAAGCACTACGCTACCAGAGCTCCTGTTACTTGTAAAATTATAAGCATGGATCCAAAGATTAAAAAATCTTTATAATATGCCATTTATCCTATCTAGCATGTTCCTAGAAGAGGTTTAGCTCTGAGAACAAGAGATGTAACTTCTTAGAAAAGGCACGTGGCGCGCGGTCTTTAGACCGCCAGTATAGTTTACCTATTCACTACGAACTAAAACATTCTTTTGGTTTGTTAGAAAGCTGAAGATATCTTAAAATTTTATGTATCTGTAAGCAAAATACTATTTAAAAAATTACCTTGCTTTACTCAAAGACTACTTTCTGTGTTGAAGCATAATCATACCCACTAAAGCAATTCCTTAAATTACAGAATCAAATCTTTCATAGTAAAAACATCTCCTCTGATTGAGTTGGTAACTACTATATGCTTATGCTTGCACTCCGTTGCCCAAATCTGGTAAAAATGATTCTTCACAACTCACAAGTAGAAGTTACCACCTTTCTAGGAGGTCAGTCTTCAGCTATCATGTATTGTTTTCAGTAAATCACCTATCATCTTCATTCCCATGCCCTAAAATAAGTTCCGGGAGCTCCGGTAGCGTAATGCCTAAGGCACTTGCCTGCTAACCAGAAGGCTGGCGGTTCAAACTCATCAGCCATCCTCAGAAGGAAAACGGGGCAATCTACTTCCATAGTGATACTGCCTTGGAAATCCAAGGAGGGGTGGCTATGAGTCGGGGCCAACTCGACAGCACATAACAACAACAACAACAACAAAATAAGTTCTAAGTTCTAATAATAACATCATTACTATCAAAATGCATTAATTCTAACCTGGTCAATATTTTGCCTCTTCTCTGTAAAAAGTGTGCTTTGCTTGTTCATTAGAAAGAAAATTACTAAGAAATAAACTGCTGACTACAAAAGAATAAACCTAAAAAATTTACAGCTCAGCCAGCCTGTGAAAGTCAGTTAAAAAAATCCACCACTCTCCGAATAAGGGGGCACTGAAAAATATTTAAAGCTTTAACCTTTAAATTACAATTCCTCCTCTAAAAGAGCTTACATAGATAAGTTCATGTACACTTAAAAATAACATTATATTTAACAATTTAAAACTACAGCAAAATCTGCGAAAGCCAAAGCCTATGCAAGAAAACAAAACAAAAACCCACTGCCACTGAGTCGATTCAGACTCATAGTGATCCTATAGGGCAGAATAGAACTGCCTCATAGGGTTTTCAAAGGCTCAAGATCTTACAGAAGCAGACTGCCTCATCATTTTCCTGCAGAACGGCTGGTGGGCTCAAATCACCAACCTTTTGTGATTAGCAGCAGAATGCTTTAGCCATTACACCATCAGAACTCCTGTGCAAGAGAAGGAAAACACATATATTTTCCACTAATAGAAAGTGATAGAAAAGTGGCACCCTTTCAAAGGTGGAAAATTAGTGAGACCAGGAAAAACAAGGCAGTCCCATCAAGTTCCACCCCTCACAAATTTCACTGTATAA